TCCACGGGGAAATCTGAATGCATTTCTACTAATCAAAACTTTCTGGAGGAAAGTGTGTGGAGAAGAAAGAAATGAAAAAGACCCAGTGGCTGTGGGGGTAATCCGTCGGGTATTGTTGAGTCATGTAATTCTTAAGTGATGGACAGCAGCAGTATGATTATAAATCTGTAATTCATTTAAAGGGGGGTCAGGTGATACCATTAGAAGTAAGAGCCACTTTCCATGCATTATGAATTTCCATTTTTTAAAAAAACCCTCACCAACTAGGATGATGGTTTTGATCATCTGCATTTTACCCAATTAATTTTTAAAGAACATACTTTCATAAATATAGAAAAGTCATAATTTAGCAATATTTGTAGTCTGAAAGGAAGGAGGTAGGTGTTCTGAAAGCTTGGTGAGCTTCTACATGTTTTTTACAATTCAAATAAAACCCCCAACATAATGAAATTCATATCAGTAAAGCCCCAAAATACCATGAATGAGATACCTTATGGGTTGCTGGTTTTATCTGGATAGTTGTCTTTTTTTTATGTTTTCCTTACCAGTACCAGCAGATGTTGCCAAATTAAGTTCTGCAGATTCACCCTTTTACAGTTATTTCAGAAAATTTCAACAACATTTATAGAGACACAAAGTATAATCATCTCTAAAGCACAAGTCCCTGCCTAAGACTCTTCTCATTACTTATGTGTCAAGTATTGTGGCAAATGGAGCTTTTCCAATATTTTTTATAGCATATGCACTTCAAATTTACTGTTTTGTGACTGTATTTATAGATAGATATATATATATTTGTGTATGTGTAAATAAATGTGCATACAGGCAGAGAGATGCATTCTGACATATACTATGTGCATGTGCCATTCTTAGAAAAGCAAAAAGGAAAACAAAGTGGAAGAGCAGGAGACCCAGAAAACTGGACACTGAATGGGTGCTTTATAGCTAGGGCTTTTGGTTTCTGCCACATTTCAAGTACCAACCTCCCAAAAAGTATGTTGGGGAATGAAAAAGTACTTCCTCATTATGGGGAATGAAAAAGGATTTCCTCATTATGGAGACCCAAGAGATTCAGGGGCATACAGAAGAAGCTGCATTTAATTATTTTTCAGCTTTTAACAAGTTATTTCTGTCATAACAATCAGCTATTTTTCAGGAGGTCTGTTAGTAGTTTGTCAGCATTAACCTGTATATATTAACCTTGCTCTCTCTACTGACCTCTTAGATGTGTATTTTCTTTCATTGATGCAGTAAGGGCTGAGACTGACAAATGACTAAGTGCATTAATGATTAAGCCCAAAGGGTATCTTTATCGTAGTTCCTCACTCTTGAGGAGGAACTTGTAGTAATTTGCTTTCTGTCCTTCAGCCATGTGCATCATAATCCTTGCTAACTCTCTGAGCTAGCTTCAGCCTTGTGCACTGCTTTCATCAGCCTTGGAAAGACATCTGGGATTTTAGAAAAGACTTGTCTTGGAAACAAGCTCCATCCCTTGTGCATATGCATATTGAAGGAAGTCGCCTTTTCTGCTCGAAACTAGGATATTTGACTGGTTCAAATGACTTATAAGGAAGAATGCAAAGGTAACAATATTGGGTAGCATTCAGAACAATGAATGCATGTTGGTTGTGTGCCCAGTTACATCAGGATTGATTTGCCCAGAAACAAAGTCATTGTACTGTGACTTCCCCAGAAGAGACCTTTCTCCAGGCTCCTCACTCCAGCTCTGGCATGAAGAGGCACCATTGAGCCAACAAAGAGAAGGACAGGAGAGAGTCTGGGTGAAGGCTGGATCCCTTATCTCACCAGTGGCATCTACCTCCAGGCACTTAAGTGAGATTTTTACACGACAAACCTTGTCATCCCAGGCTGTGATGGGAAGAGAGGTAAGCCTCTTCACAGATGCCCATATCTTGTGACTAACTGTAGAGATCTAGAAAGGTGATGTGCTCCCTGAAGTGCCTAGTGCTTGGTGGGATGACCTGAGGCCATAAGTCACAGCCGGTTTTCATAAAGACAGATTGTGTGAGAGGAAAATGAGTTGGTGGGAAAGGATTTGAAGCCTGAGAGAATGCAGGTATTGCCCATCATGAAGGTCTTGGCACTCTTGGCACTGTCACCACTTCTTGGTTCCAAGCTCTCAGTCTACAAGTGGACCAAAAGTGCATTCACAGCTAATAAAGCAGAGCTTTCATTGTCTGTTGTTGCTAGTAGTCGTAAGGCTGTATATGATTGCAGTGGAAAGAAAAGTCTAGCGTTGCATCTGAAGTAATTACTATAAAAGGCTATATACAGAAACAAATTCAATTGCATTAGCCCTACAGAAAGTCATTTAAGGCATTTTGCACAAAAAATATGAGGTTCTGTGAAATCTATTTCACAAATGTATCAAAATGATTGTATATATTTTTCTATTTCTGTCCTGGTACATTACTTCTCTGAAGTTACAAAGTCATAAAGAATCTTTTCTGCAAAAGTTCAAACTCTGCCTTGCTACACTGCTATATATATACGCATACTGACATATGTTGCTAAATACTGTGTCATTATAGTTAGTACTTAGAGCTGGGATAACTTGGGATTTTTCTCTAACTTTCATTTTGATTGGAACTCTCCCAAAATTGAAACTATCATTTAGTTCCAGGTATGATCTGTAAATGGGATCTGTAGGTTTTGGTTCTTTTTGATATCAGATTAAGCAGAAATGTTAGAATTGGATCAGTAGAAAAGCAGGTTTAATGTTCAGTGAGATTTTTTCAACCCAAACCTATTTCTGTCTAAAACGAATTATTCTAAACTTGACTTGCATTAAAATATCATCCCTATAAATTCACATTTAACTATGATAAATATTATCTAGAAATATAGCATAAAAACTGGAGCTAATAATTTGCATGCTTTCAAGCAATGTTCATACATCTGGAGCCATAAAAGTTTTACAAGCAAGTATAAATGTCAATTGGCACCTAAATTAAGATATCTGACCTACTTAAACAACACCCTTTCTTTGAATTTGATAAATATAACAAAATTGCTAGAGGACATTAAATGATATTGCTTCTCAGCAAAACAAAGTAACCTGGGAGGAGTTGGTATATAAATGTCCATCAATTGATATAGTTTGACAGCCCTGAACATCTGAATGCAAATTGCTCATTTGTAAATTTGTATTCAGATTAGGCAGAAGTTGAAAAAAAGCTTCAGAAGATTTCTGAGATGCAAATGCTCCTTTCTCTCCCCTCAAGTATAAGCACATATTCACAAATTATTTACAAAATATTCTTGGAGCCTCAAACTCAACTAATAGCACAAAGATGAAATCTGAAGTCCTTGGACTTCTATTTGGGCAGATTTTTAAGACTGATCATCACTTTGTAGCTCTTAGAAACAAACTAAGATTGACCAACTACTTAAAATTCTTCTGTGTTATCTAAAGACTGAAACTGTTAATCCGTAGTTATATTACATGTGTACAACATAATACATACATAGCCAATGTGTAAAGTAAATCAAATGAAGCACAGAATGTTAAAATAAAATAAAAGGAAATAAAAAATACCCAACGCCAGTCCTCAAAATAATCAATTACAGAAGTGATATGGATTGTTTCCTGAAGTTGTTGCCCATTAAGTTAATCTTGCTACAGAAAATCCACAAGTTCTTTGCCATTGGCCTTGCTGTCTTATCAGCATGGCAGACAACAAAATGGAAACTGTCTGCTACAGTTATAAGGAAGAAACAGGATTTTGCCACAACAGAATGAATGCCCCAATACCTAGTCCATAAGTTCTAACTATACACTATATTGAAAAAGGAATCATCAGGATTTATGTCAGATAATCAAGAACGTACACCCAGCAGAGCATGTTTAGAGTAAAGAATAAAAGCTAAAGGTGGGATTTGACAAAGCCTGAAAAAATCCCCCAAAGTAAGTGAACCAAACCTCTTTTTTGCTACATCCTCTGTCTGAAAATAGAAGCTTTAAGTGCTAGCAAAAGCACAGAAATCTAGCAAAGGGAGATAGAAAATCCAGTGAGTTAAAATGATTGAAAAGACAGTTCAGCCTGGAGTAGAAAATTGTCACAGCGACACTGGTGTCTCAAAGACAGATAGGATGTGTGGCACACGGAGCTTTAGTTAGAAATACTTAACATCAGGAAACACAGACATGACAAAAAGGATTTTTTTGTTTTTTAACGTACTAGCTTAGATGAAACATTCATTTTGAAAGATTTTTCAAGCCCAGGATGATACTTTGAGGTGAGGAGTGAGGAGAGGAGGGAGAAAAAGGAGCACAGTCCACCTGTAACCTGGTGTTTGGGGTATTTAGAGGAACATGAGAGACCTCTAAGAAACTTAGAGGACTAATGGAGTTTGGGCTTTTTCCAAATCCCCTGAGACTGCCGTCTTCAGGCTTGAGAAGAAAACTCACTAGATCCATAGTGAAATTGAGAAATCTTTATGACAGATGTGAACAACTTTCGTGCTTAAATAACACTTTTTTTAAGAGAAAAAAAGTATTATTGTCACACAAAAATCTGTCTAAGGTAGTAAACTCTTCCTCATACTCCGAAAGATAGAGAATGAGACATCTACCAGGAAACTGAGAAGAGAAACTTTGCAGCAGACTACCAGACCACCACTGACTTGTGAAGCAATATTTGTGCCTTTGCTATGTCCATCAGTAGATGGTTATAATTAGATTACACTGAAAATTCATAGGCAGTAGGTTGAAAGGAAGAGCTGGACACATGTGAGAAGTACCAGCTGTACCTCACCTGATTTTACTGTTAATTCACCACAGTCATATATATCTACTGGGCCTCACTGTGAAGTCACTGCTTCCCTGACTCACTCCTCAATTATCTTTCTAACTCTCTTGGAAAAACAAGCTTCATCATCCACAGGGACAACTTGCATACCCGGGAGGGTCCTTTCTTTGGGTTGTCTGCATGGGAGCTGAGGAGAGTTGAAAGGAGCAGAGCTGTCTAAATGGCTGGCATCCCACTTTGGAGAAGGCAAATTTCTTTCCAACTCCACTTATGCTTGGAACTGTAAGCCATATAATCTGTACTTTTTCAGGGAAAAAAAATCATATTGATTTATATTTTAGTGGGAGTAGGTTTGTCTTCTGTGGAAATTTGGCTTTAAAATGTCTTCAGAAATGCTGATGGATGGATGGACCCCTACTATATCTAAAATAAATATTTGCCATTCTGTACCTCTTTTTCGCTAATGATAAATGGACACTCCCATTCCCTGTTTCCTCTCAAGAAAAAGATAACTCCTCTTAGTAATGCAGCTGTTCTGAATTTAATAAACAAACTACACACCAGATGCTGCCTACTGCTATAAGTATGAAGCCTCACAGATTTTTCTGGTGCCAGAAAAAAAGAGGAAAAGGAAGAAGGTTTTTTTTAGCACAGAGTGTTACAAAAGCCTTTCATGTGTGTTACACTGTTAATTATCAATGCTGCATAATTAAAAATAAAGGTGAAATGAGAGATGATTGAAATACTGACCCATTTTCTTTAAATGGTTTGATGTAATTGTGTAGACTTCAAGTTATAGACAACCATACACTACTTTCTTCAACTTCTGGACAGTCCAGAGACCTTGGCTGTGGGGAAGCCAGGCAGAAAGATTGCAACTCTTTCAGAGTAAACTTTGGAAACTTACAGGTGATGATGGTAATGTCACTTTTTTATGGACAATGTTGTTTTTTTATTGAGAGTCAGAAAGAACCCAAATATGAACAGCTTCCAGAAAAAAAGAGACTTTCTTTTTCCTCTCTGATTATAGTCAAAATCCTTGTTAATGACAAAGCTCTCATTGGCATTGTCATGGTGACAGGATTTCACACAGGTGAAATGCACATGTTTGTTATATGATCACATGATGCACAATCAGTTCAGTAGAAAAAGTAAGTAAGTACTGTAAACAAACATTTCCTGTTATGTTGGCAAATTACCCTCAAGTGATTGATTGGTTATTTTGGTCAGCAGATTTGAATATGATAAACAGTTGGAAAATGTTCTGACTAAACTAATCTGAGACCATCACTCCTGTCAGATGCTAGAATTTTACTTTAAAAATTAGTTTCAATTACATTGAAACTTCCAGAAATCAATTACATTGATTTCCATTACATTTCCTATACTGTTTAACAGATTAGATAATGCTTACTATCATAACATTTATCTTTCATGTACCCTGTTACCAAGGTACTCTGGTCTTTATCATTGTTTTATTAAAAAAATGATCATAATTACACATGTCAATATGATCCTCACAGTCCATTTGAGTAGCTGTAATGAAAACATTGCCATATTAAGTACATCACCTGTCCTAACTTTCTTGAAAGTAGGCATTACTGAGTCTATTGTGTTCTGACAACATAATCTCAGTCCTGATGCTAAGATTTAGCCTTTGACTGCTGAATTTCCCATTAAAATTATGGCTTTTGCAATTTTATGTAATATTCCACTGTTGTTAACTCTATTAATTCTCCTTTAGTAGCTTTGAACATTTGTGGGTTAATACAGTAAATATCATTTTGTGGTCTTTGAAATGAGGATTTCTTCTTAATATCCAAAATGAAATCTGTTGAAACATGCATATTCATTCTAAAATTTTCTGTGTTCAGTTTTAATGGGTTACCTTTGGAAGCAAATTAAAAACAAAAAACACAACTTGCATCAGTGCTGTAATTTATTTTTCACGTTGAAGTAATAAATGTCTCAGTGAATAAGTATAGTTACATTTGATAATGATTCAGAGTCAGTAAATTGAAGGCAACTGCTGCCTACTGAGACACTGCACGTGCAGTCCAGCTCCCAAGAACAGCTCCAGCTCACAGAATCACATAATCACAGAATCACAGAATGGGTGAGGTTGGAAGTGACCACAGTGGATCACCTGCTCCAACCTCCCTACTCAGTCAGGGTCATCCCAGGGCACACTGCACAGGATTGCATCCAGATGGTTCTTGAATATCTCCTGTGAGGGAGACTCCACAACCTCTCTGGGCAATCTGTCCCAGTGTGCTGCTACTCGCACAGTAAAGACATTTTGCATGGAAGCAGGTGAAACTGGTTCATACATCTGTGGGAATAATCCTTCATAAAGATCCCACAGAACTGGGATGATTTTTGTGTCTGACGTTCAGGTTTTGGGAGCTTTCCATGGACAGAGTTCTGTGATATCTCTTAGGGTATTGGGATAGATCAACCCTTACCAGAACACCGAGGCACAGGTTCCTGTCCTTTTGCTCTTTTGCTGGAAATCTCTACCCCCTTTTTTCAATTTTTTTTTCTGATTGTCTCTTTTGGAATGCCTAAGTTTGGCCAGAGTTCAGGAATTCTGCACTGTGGTTATAATACTATGTACTGAGTTATCAGTAGAAAAGTCTGCAATACAATAAACGTTAAAAATTTGGGGTTGGTGCCAAAGCAATTCAGTCAATATTGAAAAGAAAAACCTCACAGGGCTCTGCAGCACTGGTTATGTAAGTGATTGGATCTAATTTTTTATTAGTCTCCACTTTAAAAGAACACAAAATGTCAAGAATTTCTGGATTGTGCAGCATAGATGGTTTACACAACCAAAGGACTTTTCCTTAGGACTTAGCTTCACTTTCTTGAACAGGTAATTGTCTTCTTTATAATTTCTTACTTTGTTGGCTGCTAGCAGAAGAGAAATTTAAATTGTGGCACACCAAAAAATTACCTTATTAGAAGAGTTATTGGATGCAAAGGATATGCAAATAGAAACACTGGAAATTATGTAGAGTCTTATATTTATGAACACGAATGTTCTTTCTTTTCTTTCTTTCATTCCCAAATTAATTTCCTCCTGCAGATGTAATAGCTCTCTTAATCTCAGAAAAATGCAATGTAGGAACAGAGTATTTAACCTTTAGGGACTATTAAAGAAATGTATGCACAATACCTCACGAAAAGGCATCTCCATCTCCTGACAAGATATCACCATGCATAGTAGGAAAATAAGAGGAGAAATAATATTATGGAAGACATAAATTTCTGGCAGAACTCCCTTGATACAATTACATTTTGACAAAGATTAGGCTGGTTTGTTTTTTGAGCAGCAGTTTGTAAGATCCAGTCCAAGAAGAGGAGAGTCTCTGCTGCAAGCTCCCCGAGTGAGAACAGCCTTTAGCACACATCCTAGTTCTTAGGGATCTCTCTTCCTCCTTGTCCAAAAGTCCGTGGAGGTCTACAAACAGCTGAGAACACCCTGGACACTCACCTTGGTTGCACCAGCTGAAAATAGTCACCAGATCACTACGTGTGGGCTGAGGCTAACACAAAGACCTGATGAGTCCATCAGCTCCTTTACTAGCAGTGTGGAGCAGGTGCAACAGAGGATTTGCCTTAGAGGCCTTGGACTTTGTTGCCTGTTGATAAGCTTCCAGACCGAGAATAATAGTATCAGTTACCACTGAATAAACACACAGTGGGAGAAGTCAAAATCACACTCAGCTTTTCCTGAAACAAAGTTGCTAAAGAGAAGCGTAGAAAGGATGTGGAGATGGGTAGAAAGGATGTGGAGATGGGTAGAAAGAGATGGACCAGGGGAGATTTTTAAAGAGTTCTCTCTGTAAAATGATACATGTGCAAGTTTAGGAAAAAAATTAAAAGCAAAGACCCTTTGCTTGGTACTTGCTGTGCCAGGGCAAAAGAAAAAACCAATAAGAATTGGCTTAAACTTCCTAGAGACAGTAAATACTAAATGACAAGACTTGCTCCAGGGAGAACCCTTGGAGAAGTGGGACACATTGCTATGGCTGGTGTAAGACTCGTGTGATCTGAACGCTTAGACAGTGACTCATGCACACTAATCTGGGCCCAGAGGAACAGACCACCTGTCAGGGCCAGGTTGGATGGGGCCCTAAACAGCCTTATCTAGTGAATGGTATGCCTGCCCATGGCAGGGTGATTGGAACTAGATGATCTTTAAAGTCTCTTCCAACCCAAATGATTCTATGGTTCTATCATTCTATGATGCTATTGTTATACTCTGAAGCAAACAAACAAATAAACAGGAAAAATAAAAAGCATGGAATACAAGTGGCTCAAAACCTATGCTTTTTGTTATTAGACATACTATATAAATAGTTTGTAAATACTTTCTGGTAAAAGTGCTTAAGTATACTTTATCCTAACGTACTGTGTGTTTCTATTTTAATTTCATGCCTAAATCGATAGCTAATTATAATTTGACAAGAAAAAGTGATGGCAATGGATAAGATCTACCTGCTCTGCTGCTAAATTGTAACGTGGTTGGCTGGATTTACAGTGTTACTACAATTTGTCTATACCATTTCCAGAGTCAACATAAGAATCAGGAAATAAATTTCTGGCAAATCATTTCAACACCACACAACATTGCCCCAGAAGTCTTTTGTCTGCAGCTGATAGAAGAAGGAAGATTTTGATGTCTAATTGTTGACACTCATTTGGCCAGGATTGAAACAGCTTCCACCTTGGGTCTTATGACCAGATGCAAAAAACTCTATCCAGGACCATGGTCATTTAGGCAATGATTATTAAAGCAAGGTATGCTTGAAGAATCTGAGAGTACAATTGCCATCACAATTAACATCCCAGTCCTTCTCTAGGCCTATCATACAAACTCACATGCCCCCCACAAATACATACATATGAGAGAGGTTATCTCCCTCATCCTGCAAACTTGTTAAGAAATGGACAACTGGATACGTAAAAAATTCTCTTCTTTGATTTTCATGCTTACCAGTCATCAAAGGGCTACTTTCCAGAGCAGCACAAAAAAAAGAAGAGCTGGTTGACCAAAAGTTTTTTTCTTACAAAGAAGTGTCAACCCTGAGCTTGTAATTAAGAAGTTAAAATCTGTGATTTATATATATTTATATATATAAAAATAGATGATCATACTAAGACTAAAAAAGTGAAAGAAATCTCCATGTCAGTACTATATATTTGTTTGTTCTGAGATTTTGTAGACGAAATCCTTGTGACACTCAAATTAACTGATATGAAAGATGTAGTTAGGTGTGAAACACACTATTGATCCAGTTGCTGTTAGTCCATTAGAGAATTGCCATTTTGGTAGGATAATGAACATAGTAGCAGAAAGTTCTAATCAATGTCAGAACAGTAACAAAAGGAAAAAGATTCTATCACAAGAGATTATTTTCTATCTGAACCCTTGAGGGGTCAAGAGCGTTGTTTATATTACCGTCATGGCTGATGAGCTCACAGCAGTGAGCTAAGTGGAAAACTGTGCCAATTGCATAACATGGATAAATTCTAAAAGAAACTGTGCTACTACTCATATTTTTACTGGGCATTAAGATTTAAATACTAAACAACTGTAACATGATATTCTGAAGCTAGTGGAGCTACTACCATACTAAAAGGTAAACTTATTTTTCAGCTTCTCTGCCTTCATACCAATCTGATGTGGTTGGCAGATGGAGTGCAAGACATTCACTGTTGAGACATACTTTTGTGTTGGAAAAAAAAATCCAGCCTTCCTCCCTATAACAATGATCATTCTGATGACCTGAATCATCCTACAGAAGTTCCTAAGGAAACCTGGCTGTCAGCGAAGAACGGTTGCATTTTTTTGTTCCCTTCTTGTGTTTTTTTTTTTTGTTTCATTGATATTCTGTTGAAATGCAGCAGCCTTGAATCAGGCTTGATTCAGAAAGAAAACTGTTTTCTTAGTTTCTTCCCCCCCTCTTTTTTCTCTGATGGGGGAAAAACACACACTGTAAGATCCTTTTTCCCTTTTGCAGCATAAAAGGAAATGAAGCTCAGAAAGTCTCCTGTAATAAAGGTTTGAGAAAGAATTCTCTCAAGAGTGTATATCGTCTTCAGAGATATCTGAAAAAAGCAGGAAGCAGTTCAGTCTGGTACCTGGTACTCTTTGGGAAAACTAAAATGGGAAGCAGGTTGCAGTACTGTTCTCTTGTAGAAAACTGCAAGTGTTTGTGGCGTGGTCCATTGTCCAAGAGTATAAGAAAAGAAGAAAGTTGGCTGTTTCTGTAGCTAAAACACAGTTTCTCCCACAAGATCTAGGATTATCTCCACTGTCTCTGCAGTACGAGACTGATGAAGATGACAAGCAACGTCTGCAGTGACCAGCCAGGCTGTGTGGCTGAAGCCTCCACCTCCCTCCTGTCTGAGTCGACAGGTGGTGCTTCAGTGGTGATGAAATCAAACTCGGTGGGACAGATGTCATCTGTACAGCCACTTCCACTGCCTGAGCCGCTGGTTTCATCACCTGGCACAAAGGAGTGAGGGAAACAGCATGAGTGTTGTTGGTTATAGCTTTCACCCCTTTTCTCCATTTCCCTTCCATCTGGCACCCCAGTGGGATAAACACATTGGGAATGGGAAAGTGGTGGTGATGCTAAATTTCATTCAGCAAAGCATCCAAATGAAAGCCACTGTAACTTAATTAGATGATTAAGTGCTCTTCTGACAAAGAAGTGGACTGTTGGCATTATGGAAAGCTCTCAATGTCTTGATACACTAGATATGAAGATTAATAAAAGAAGTAAAAGAAAGAACTATATAACTGGAGTTTCATGTGACAGAAAAAGAATTCTTATGTTGTCAGCAGTGCAGAGCACAAATACTAAAGAAAGTCATTGCAATGGAACCAGTTAATAAATGTGTTCCAAAAAGACATTTATGTAATGACAGTTAATGGTTTCTTACTTGTATCCTGGAAGTTGACATCATTCCCATTATATGCGTTCTTCAGTTTGTTAGTCATGACACGTAAGGCCATGATTTGTTGTCGAATGAAGGTGTCTGGCCTTGTGATGTCCACATCTACTTCTGGATTGTTGATCTGGTTGGTCAACCCATCATTCATAATCTCAGGCAAGTATCTACATAGCAGGATGAATCATTAGTTTGAGGTGCAATAATTTCAGAAATAAAACACTGTGCAGCAAACGGTGTGCTAAGCAATTCAACATGCAGTTCTTGAACAGATCCAGTGGACCTATTTTAAAGATATAGTTTTTAATTTTACTGACTCTGAAGGATCTTTTTAGTAGCTTAGCTACTACAGGGAGCAGAAAGCATTTAGGTTTTTCAACCTCTTAACTTTACGTATACTCTCCAGCAAGTGCACTGGCTGTGTGAGCTATGGAAAAGGTTCAGAAGCCAGCAGTAAGTCACTGCATGTTCATATCCTCTACTGATGTGAATGGTTATACACTAAATTAAACATCTAACAGTGCATTCTTCTGTTTTTACCTCTTTCTGCTTAAAAAATATGAATTTGTTATATAAAGCTTTTTTTTTTTGTTCTGAGACAGTTTAGAAACCTATCTTGAGGCATTATGGCTTTCTTTAAAAAAACACTTAATAAATTTTCTTCTCCAGTTCTTTCTTGCATCCCTTTTTTAGGCCACTGTGAACAGCATCTCCAGCCTATATGACATCCAGCCCCATAAAAGGGGTTGTGATTTTACCAAACTCCAGTATTTTCTTTGATTTTGTCCTTATTCCTTAAAACCAGTCTATGCTTGCATCTTTCATGTACTTCGTGCATAACATTTAAGGTATGGCATTTTCTACCCATCCATCCAACTGAATTTTTTATTCAGGCTCTTAGCTTTTAATTTCTTGATTACTGCAGCATTCCTTTCTCTGACCTTGACAAATACAGTCTTAGTCTGCTCACAAACATCAAGTGTGCTTTTGCAGGTAACTCTCCCCTACGAAAAAGCAGCCTCCATCCTAGAGTAAAAATCTCCATTCCCCTTTGTTACAAAGATGCACACTTTATTCCCTGCTGCTCTTTGTCCTCAGGAAGCTCTCTTTATAGGCATCAGTAAAGCTACCTTTTTTTCTGCTTTGAATCTCTGTTAAAAATTATCTGTGCGTTTTACAGCTGCCAGGCTGATAAAAGGTTGACATTTTTTCTCTCTGCTGGTATTGTACCCTGAGAAAATAGTGTATCACTGCTTCTCTGTTCTCTCTTGCCTGTCTTTACCTACTATCTTTGTCTCACATTTAGACTGCAAGGGATTTAGGGCAGATCAACCCTTTGTATATGTTTTTTATAAGGATATGATCTATTTTGTAATTAGTGTGCATACCAGGCTATGCCGCTGATGTTTGTTAGACTCCTCATGTGGGTATGTGCTCAGACAGTAAATAATGATAGCACAGTCTAGCCTACTAATGACAAACGTTCACGATGCCTGGTACCAAATATAGTTTAAGAATATTTCATATCACTCTCACTTGAGCACACACAGTTCTCTATCTGTATTCAAATTTGGCATTGATGACAGCATTGTTCATACTGGTCTGGAAAAATAAATATATCTTAAAAATAATTGTGAAAGTAAGGGAGAAGAAAGGACTTTTTCTGTTGAAGTCATGGTTAAGGAAAAATAAGTTTTGTGTTGCTTCTGGAGGTTCACAAAATGCCAGCTGCTTTGCTGCACCAAGGAAGGGTTTAGTCTCATTGTAATAGGTTCTAGCTTTGCAAGATGAGACTCATTTGTTGCCAGTGGCCTTTGAAAGCTTACATGAGAATAATCCCAGGGGAGCGTGAACATATAAGAACCAAACACAATTGCCAAAAATATCCAGCCTCAAACTGCATGTCCTGTTTTTTCACTAGTACCATGATGTGAAATAACAATGCTGGGGGATCCCATCCGGACTCCTGTGGTAAGGTTTATTACAGTGAGAATACAGAGCCAGTACCCCAGCACAGAGGACTGCAGACCACGATGTTATGAATCACTAAAGACAGAATAGGAAATAATTCTTCAGAGATGCCTGGAAGCAGCAGGATGGAGACCTTGGCAGGTAGGTATGTCCTGGGCTGTAAAGGAACAGATCTCCATCTGTCACACGTCTCTACAAATGAAATGGCTACTGTAGATAAATTACTCATTCTAGAATTAAATCAGCGATTTCAAGGTGAAAGTTGATTAAAAAAAGCAAGGATGTAAGATTTGACCTTCTGGCTCAGAGAGGATTTCCATCTTGCCCGGTATCCTGTCCATGAAAATGGCTACAGCTGTTAGCAACCAGAAGTGATCTGAAATTGCTGAATATTCATGTGGATTGCTCTCCTTGTTTTTGAAAGGTTAGCTGCTCTTTATTGCATGCTATCCATGAGAAGCTATGGCTAGCTTTGCATGGCAGCTTACAGGCTTTCTCTGACCAATTTCTGTTTGATTTCATTTTGTCTTATCATCAATAATAGAAGATTCTAATTGCTTCTGAGAGCAATTAGAGAGTGCTCTGATGTGCGTGTTTCATCCAGGTTCATATTTTGCACTGTGGCTAGTGTGGATCTGATGTCCTTCTGAAGACCATCTAACTTTAAATGGGTCAGCCCGTTCAGTTGTAGGAAGAGATTTTGTCAAACTGTCACATATCCTGCTGTATCTGCCCAGGATGTGGTGATCTCCAAAGCATTCCTGGCACGGAAGGCTTAACCTCTCAGAAGAACAGTCCAGTGTACCTCACCTAGGTGTGTAAGGGAGTCATACTGGATGTAGGTCACAAGAAATCCATGGTCTTATGATAGCCTAATGGTTAGGAGGATACTTAAATTCCCTTGGCATTTAGGGCGTAGGAGCAAAATAATTAAAGAGGCTAAAAATTTATCTTTAGGTTTACACAGATAATAAAACCTGTATGTTCAAATGAAAGTGTCTGCATACAAGCAGAGTCTCACTCTTGCCAGATCTAGTCAACGCAAGATCTAGTCACAGCTAGTCAGGAGTTCATTCATCAGTGGAGCGGGGACAGCTGTTAGAATCCCATGTGCCTTTGACCAAATGACTAGTTCATTATATTTCATCTGCTGGGATTTACTTGAATAAACATAGACATCTGGTGCCATTTGAATACTCTTGGTTATTTTTCCTCTTCTCATCAATAGCTCTAAAAGGTGAGGCTTTCTGGATCATATCTGCAGGCTTGATGGGGAGGTCTTGGACATTTGGGGCATCTAAAATTATAGTGTGTGTCTTACTTTAGGGCAGCTGCATTGAGTCTTGAATGACACTTTAGCCACCAGGACTTAGGCTTGGTGTTGTGCTGCCACTCCAATAGGGTTTGAATATCCTGCAAGTCCAGGGTCTAATTTGTCAACTACATGCCGGTATCTTGACTATTTAGACCATCTAACATAGCAGGAGGTAAGTGTGTTCAGGTGGTGGAAAACTGTCTCTGACTACACTGACAGGATATTGGGGCTGTCTTCAGGCACCTTAACATTGGTGGTTTTAAAATCGCTCAAGCAGTTTTAACATAGCCTGTGGTCCAGATGGGAGGTAGTGTCCTGTGTCATACTCATCTCAGATGTGCCAGAGAGTCTACAATGATACTACTATCACATGGGTAATACACTCCTTATTGTCTTACCCACATTTAAGTACATGAATTCACATGTCTGAATGTGTAGCTGGATTCTGGCCTCATTACTGAACAAGTTCACCTGCTTCCTCAGGGGAGAAAAAACAGTCAGAAAAGCCTATATTGAATGTAAATATCTTTGAATTGTTTTCTTTTCTTTAAAGGACTGATGCAGACACGAGAACATGCAGCCCAAGGTGTTTCCTGAGCAACAGCCTCGGAGAGGCAGCCCAGCATGTGTTCTGACAAAAGCATTTTGATGTGTGTGGGGTAGGGTTAAGTCACACCGAATAGGAAGCCATGTCTTGGGACCACTTTTTGACAGAAGATTTGTTGCTGGCTGGGCAAAGTTGTTGAACACAGCTGCTTTTGCTGCAGTTCTGTAAGTGGAGACACCCTTGTGAATTTTGAGCTTTGCCGCTGCTTCTGCTCTAGTTAATGATCTCTTTGTAGGCTTGGCCATTACAAGAACTGTATGCCCATTATAAATGAAAAGAAGCGTCAACCTGAATCAGTGTCTGTTCTCTGCAGCCTCTGAGCAAAAAAAAAAAATCAAGCTTTCTTAACCCTCTGAGTATAGAGAAGCTGAATAATACTGTTTGTTTTCTGCTGTTTACTCCTTGTTCAGCTCTGTCAGGATTTTAGCGTAATTTACATTGTTTCTAAAATATTAATGCTTGCCATTCCTCTTAGCTTTTCTACAGTTCTTGAGTTCTCGCTTATCTCAGCAGACACAGCAAAAGTGTCTTTTGGCACATCATAATCAAGAACCACAAAGTCTATTTAAAACCACTTCCCCCCCCCCAATAACCAGTTAATACTCCAGGGTTTCTACTTCCTTTTCAAGTCTAGAAATGACTGATGAATCTTTCAGGTCATTTATTGAAAGGCTGGACACTACCCCCCCCCACTGTCCTGCTCCTGCAAAAAAAAAAAAAAAAAAAAAAAAAAAGAGGAATCTTCTGATTTTTAAAACACATCTGACTTAAAGGGCAACATTCTCCATATTTTGCTGCCACAGCAGCTGCTTAGAGTACAACTGGAGCATGTCACCTAGGCAGTACTGGAGATTTTCTAGGTGCACAGAATTGTAGGCAATAGAGTACAAAATACAGCACAGGCTTACTGAGGCTGGGCTGGGAGTACGCAGTCACATCTGGTCCAGAAAGATAAGTACAGTGGAAAATTGGCTTGTTTGGCTAACTCGATCACCTCATCTGATTCTGTTTGCTCAGGAGGTAATCCCCACAGGATATTTTCAGGTTTGTTTTTTTTTTTTTGATCCATCTTGGAGAAAAGCTTGAGGAGACATAAGGAGAGGGAGAAAATAGCTCCTCTGCCAACTTGCTGAAAGGAAGATGCAAAAATAGACTAGAGCCATCAATTAAGAACAGGCAGTTTTCATACTTACTGAGAAGTGGTTTATTCACGCTTTCACTAGTGGTGATAAACAATTACCTGTGCCTACCTCCAAGTAAAGGACATTCAGCTCATTCTCACTGGAAGTCTTGCTGGTCAGCAGTGAGTAACTTTAGGAGGGAAAGCACTGATCTGGAGAGCCTTTCTTCCCACCTGAATTTCACCAGGAATTAAAGGGTCTCTGCTAGGGAAGTAGACATTCTCATATGTGTCGCAGGAGAAGAAGAGAATTTCAGACAGTTGAGAATCTATACTGTGTTCATTTTGGTGACATACCTTGTAGTTTTGAACTAGATGTTGAAAATTATAATGTTCATTTTTCCTTTTATTCCTTAACTTTCTCTATTTTTTTCCTGTTTATTTTTTTTTCTATCTCATATAATTCTATTTCTCCTTCATTGCACTTGGAGGAATGAAGGGTTCCTTGTGGAAAGGAATGCAGGTCTCATCTCTTTCATGGATTACAGCCTCTCAGAGCTGAGACATATTAATAAGTCTATAGTCCTGATGAGCATGAGGACCAGTATTACAGTGCATGACACAATCTCTTGAATGTTTTGGTTGAAATGACCTGGCTGTGTTGGTTGGAGTAATTCAAGGTTCTTCTCCTGAAGACCAGAGTGGTTTCAGATTTGCTTACTGTTCTGACTTCAGTAAAAGTCACCTGTTCAAGGACTAATACCTTGGACTTGGTGTAAGTCCCAAAGACTGAATTCCATAATTCTTGGGAAAATTTCTTAATTTCTGGAGAAAATGTATTAGTGAAGAGGTTATCAGTGGTTGTTAAGAATTTAACTGTATGTAGGGATATAGGTAAATTTTTAAAGTTTGATCTTCCTGTTGCTTTTTAGATCCCATATAGTTTTCAAAAATCTCTCTGTACATCTGGCAGAAGACATTAATTCTTTGAACATAAAATTATGTTCAAGTTCTTTTGTGATACAAATATGATGGAGAAATTCTGCTGGACATCTCTCTAAGTGGCACTTTGTCTGAAGTAGCTATTATTATTTTTAATACGGATTTTACAAAAAAAGAGATCCATCCATTTAATAAATATTTTCCCATTTCCACAGCATTTCATTTCTACCTGATGTGACCTGATTAAAACTATTCTTTGTACAGGATCAGCAATGAGTCAAGTGCACCCTTCCAGAACGCCAAATGGATGACTCTGTTACTACATGGTTACTCACAAATTGGCAACCTCCATTTGGCGACCTGGTGTCACTGTAAATTAATCATGGCAGCAAAGTGATATTTAGGGAGTGTAATAACCACAAATGACCTTGGTGTAATGCCTCTCTCAGGAGAAAGCCAAGCTTTCATTTGCTGTGATCTCAGGTTTGTAACTCTTTTTCCCTGTAAAATCAGCATTAAAAAGTGATGTGTAAAATGAAACATAAGGCATAATGTCTGTCTGGCAATTCAAAGTTTCTAATTCTTTATTCCATAACAGAATCTGATAAAAATCCAGCAATAATTTCCTTTAGCAACAGTAACCAACACCATGTTTTCTCCTTATGTACAGTATTAATGTCTAGGAAAACAGGAGATTTTCCTAAATTTCCTTTTTTTTTTATCATAGGTTGTTGTCATATTCTCTGGAATTTAATATGCAGCTCTTCATATAGCACAGAGATACTTATGACAGCTGACACAGTGAACAAAGTTATATATATATGAATATTGGTCAGATTTTGCCATGCTCTTTCTTGTGAAATAATATTTGATAGCAGATACTAATCAGTCTGAACAAGGAAACATTTATGTTTTAGAGTTTTTTTAATGCTGCAGTAAATGTCCTTGCTCACCACCCAAGAGGTGATTTTGTATCTAAAGCTATTTTCAATATTATTTTCAATATTGTTTTCAATATTATTTCATATACAGGCCATGGCATTCTGTGGCATTTCTCTGATTCATTACTATTGCCTTCACCTGAAGCATTTATTGAATTCTGTTACTAAGCCTGTGACTATACATTTCCTTTGTGAATGGATATTAAACAGAAACTGGGCAGAGGAGCAGTGGCTGGATGTGCTGAAATCATATTTTCGGGTGATGTTTCGAAGCTGTGATTCTACATCCAATGAAATGTCTGAGTTCACTTATCAAGGCACATTATTGACAAAGGATTGCTCTTCTCAATGGCTCCAGAACATTAATCTCAGCAGCAACCATGAAAATAACTAGGCTTCTCATAAGATAAATACTGCAAAAGAAGGCTGAAAACCTGCATGCATAAAATGCACCTCCATAACTCCCAACAAATGTGGAAGCTGTGCCAGAGACTTCAGTGCAGAAGCAGAAGAGAGCTGAAAAGTTTTGGCCAGATGTGGTACAAACACTAGTGCTGGTCATGGAAAACAGCAGGGATAGAGAGATATTAGCGGGTTTGACTGCTCTTTTGAAGAAAGAGTGGCATATATCTTTTATTGATACATGCATCCTGATGTGACTCAAGGCATCCAGCTCGGATGCCTGGAAATGCTGCTTAACTACTGCAGTGCACAAACCTGGGCTCATGGCTTTCAAAGCTCACTAACAAGAAGAGATAACATAAAGAAAGACAAAATCCACATTTTTATTTGTCTCTTCACACTGTTCCTTTGTGATGAGTCCTGTAATAGCCAGACACTCCTCCTAGTTGTGTTTCTCCGAATCCCCAGGGGCTCTCCCTAGATCTGGGACTTAGGAACTAAGTAATGACTTGTGCTTTTGGACAGATTTGTTCACATGCATCCCAAGGTGGATTCAAGAGGCTAGCAGCATCCCAAACAGCCCTCTTCTCTTGTCTGTAAAATGAATTTTTGAAAATGTTACATAGTAAGACTAGGAAAGAATGGTATGCATTCAGTGTGAAACCTCCCCCTGTAAACTGTGCTCCTTATCAAAATGATTAGATGGTGAGATGATGGGGTGGGTGCAATCTATCTAGGTATCTGACCACCCATCCATCCATCCATCCATGTAAAATGACATTGAGCAGGTTTATAAGTTTTTTTCCTATGTTGTTTTATTTTCACTGAGTTTTTATATTTTATGTGTTTGTCCCATTTTTTCCCTTGTGTTTTTTTTTTTTTTTTTTTTTTGGTTTTTTTTTTTTTAATTGGTTGTCTGGTTGTTTTTTCTTATTATCTCATTTTTATATTATTTCTTCTTATGTATTGTCAGGAAAAGGAAAATAAGATTCCAGTCCCTGAGTGCCAAAAGGTATCACTGCTCTCCAGATTCAGCTGTCACCAGACACTCAAACCTCCCCACTCCTTGCATCTACCCAAAGTCACAGGCTACTGCTGCAGACCTGAAAGCAGACTGTCCCCAGTGTGGTGCTTGAGCCAATTTCTTTCTCTCTCAGCAAGGATAATCAGATCCCCTCCACTGTTAGGTGATGAATCTACACTGGGACCTTTGGAGACACCTGCTCATCTGCTAGCTCCAGGTCTGCTGCAACCAGGGCCAAGCAAACTTCAAAATTATAACTCACAGAAAACTCCTCACAAACAAGGCAGATGACCACAGTTATCTCTGATGAAGTAATATAAGGTCAAATCTTCAACACAAGCTAAGTAGGAGTGCTACATTTATTCTCTGGTGGTTGTTTTTCAGACTTTTTTTCCTCCAGTAAATATCCCTAAGCTTTGCCAGCCAATAGGAAATGGAGCCAAAATTCCAATTTCTATTTCATCCCAATATGACATCCCGAGAGTGCAATTGCTTCACAAGCTGTCAGTCCCAACACAGGGATGCTAAATGGACCTAAAGAGCTCTTTGAAATCTCAGTATAAATTATCCTTCTGGAGCTGAACCAACACACATTTTCTGTGTTCACATGCTGACAAACTGTGCACATTTACCCTGACTCACATTCCGGCTTTAATGTCACTTTGACAATAAGTAATCTTGGCTACAAACTGTGTATGGACAATTACTTGTTCTCCCCATTTCTGTTTAATTCTCATAAACAGTTTTCTGAAATACCCCCAGCTTCATGATTGCTTCAGGCCAGATGGGGATTTGGACCAAGTGTGGTGGAGAGGGGTCCACCTCACCTTGCCTTGGTGTGGCCATTCCAGCAGTCCTCCTCGACTGACGGACCGGCTGTCACTCGCTCATCCTTGCAGATTGTGTAGGGTAATGTTGACCAGAACTTTTTAGAGAGTTTTAGCTTTTCTTTAATATCTGTTACCTGATTAAAACACAACGAGAGGGAAAACAGATTAAAAACATCAACCGCCTTAACTATAATGTTAAATAATACATTGTTTAGGTTTGTAATGGTGATGATGGTGAAGGTTAAAAGGGCTAAAGGTGCTAAAACTTAATGGCCTGTATTTAAAAGCAAGACACTCAGCATTTGAGTTAAGAACGTACAAACAATCAAAGTCACCTTTTTCCACAGGCAAGACATTAATAAAAACATGTTGCATCTTGCTCTTCCTAGTCTCCATTTGTCTAAGGTTTTCTAAATATACATCTTTTTAAGAATTAATATGCCTTGCAGTTTGCTGAATGTGAATTCAGTTAAACAGTGTACATCAGACAAAATGTCTCACCCACCAACTTGGTCACATCTTAGAAAAATATTATATAGAGAGCTCCATGCATGGGTTCTAAAAAAAATGGTGCAGTGCTGAGCTGATGTTGAACTGATTTAAAATACGCAGTCTGAATACATTGCAGTACATTTAGATCTCAGCAACAGTGAGAAGCCTGTGTATATACATTCATGCAGAGAGTATATCCTTCTTTGCTGTTAGGTGTAGATAAATATCTGTTGCTGGATACAGAATCCGCATGCAAGGAATGTTACGACAATATCTAAGAAGTTTCTTTACCTTATAAATTCCTTGAACAATAAGTTAATTTGGCATTATTCAGGCAACAAGCAGGAAGAAACTGAATTTCCAGCATCAACTTAAAAAATAAATGCTCTGACTAAAATTTTATCAGTCCTTGTTTTGTGTTTGGTATACTAGAGTGGAAAAATCTACAAGAATAGATAGAAAAAACAACAAAGGACAGACTACAAAGGATGAATGCTGCCACTGTTGTTCTTATGGAAACATGCATTTCACATTAAATTGTTATAGGCTTTAGGGGAGCTTGTTGAATAGCTTTTAAAGGAAATAGCTAAGCTTTGTTCTTTAAAAAACCAAGAAATAAAATCTCTCCATTCTTCCATTCAGTTTTGAGATTGTCTTTTAGGTTGTTGAGGTACAATATTGTACTTGGCTATTTATCTTTTTTATCTTTTGTTCTCAGGACATGATAGCTCTCCAAGCAAATGGCCCATGCTGCTTTGCCATGCTTAAACTCTGTGGAATGTCACTTTGTAAGCCAAGAGATAGAAACAGCTGAGGATGTTATTTCAGAAGCACAGTCTGAATTTTCATCTATAAAAAATAAGTAGGACAGTATTTGGCTGTATGGGTTGTTGACGGTGTTTCTTGCCGTGATAGACACCTGATAAATCTCCTCCACACTCCTCGCCAAGCTCCAGTTGCTTTGTTTTCGTATGAGATACTAGTAGCATTTGCAAGCCTTTAAAGTCTCAGTGGGGAGCCCTGTCAAGCCAAAAATTAAGTTCCAGTTTACAGGCTGCGGGCAAGCCTTTGGCAGAAAGTGGAGATGGTCTCAGGATACCTGTCATGTCTGATGTCTTTGGTCCATGGGACCAGGGTTTTTGGGCAGACAGCAGCCCCTCTTCTTCCTCTTCTGCCCATGCTGAGAACACCCCCCCAGTTGGGACTGGGACAACTAACCAGCATAAGCAACTCAGTGAAACTGTCCATTGTTGACAGTGTGTAAATTTCTGCTAAGACACAGTGTGGATAAAGAAATCCTATAGAAAACACATGGAAGAGACTTTATAGGGAGTAGGGTCCACTCATGTAAGCTTGGTGACTGTGAGAGTCAAAGGGATAGATTTTCTTTTTTATAGCTTGTACCTAGATAACTATTTACACAAGCAATCTGATTGATATTGGTGGTGAATCATTAGCTTTCAGAGCTTGCTGGAAGTTACTCTAAGCTATTGAAAACTCAGATGTTTTAGAGTTACATTCAGATTTTGACGATAATCAAATTAAAACTGGTGCTGTAGGACTTGCAAACTTCTGTTTTGAACCACAAGTTATTCAACACCTATCGGAAAGTGATTTTCCCCCCCTGGCCCTTCTAAGGACTGCAATTTGGAGTACAAACCTTTCATTTTCCTAGAAACCAGCAAAAGAATGGAGAGAGATTCTCACAGCTCACATGCTGCACATGCTTTCCAGATATTGCCTCAAAATCAAAATGAGGGTTGCCATTCCCCAATTACTTTCAAAGATATTAAATGAGGTTTGCATAGGCTATGTTGTTAAATTTCCTAACAGTATTTTTTTCATTTGTGTTACAGAAGTACACCTGATAAAGTAATATGGTCTTTACTCAGGATTGTTGGTAAATGACAACTAATTAAATCTCAGAGACATCCTCCTGAGGTGTCATTCTCATTTTAGTGCCTCGGGTAAATGAGACATTTGCATGACTCACAAAAAGCATCAATGGTAAAAATGACTACAGCTTAGGGAAAGGTTCTCATTTGCTGCCTCTCTACATACCTTCAACTCGGGTGCATTTTAACAGTTTTTTATCACCTTCAGATATTTCCCTTCACAGCTATCCCCCACTGCCCACCTCCCCTATTGTATTATTTCACCACGGAGCTTTAAACAACTTGTGTGGACTCAACCCTCGAAGTCTTGCCCTTTCCTGCTGTCTGACCGGACCTCTGTCAACCCTCAGCTTTTGGCAGTGGACCTTACACATCTACCTAAGTGGTTTCTTGAATCTCATCCTGAAACTATCTGGAAGTGCAATATGGTGACTGATGGCTTTTAAAACAGGATTCTGAACACTGATTGATTCATCTCCTCTTTCAGGAGGTAGCCTGATAGCCACGTTCTCTTCTGTATGATGAATGTTCAGGCAGGCAATGACTTTGGAATACTTTTAATTTAACTTTAAATGCAGAATAGAATTAGGTGATGTAATGCCTGCCGTGACATGTAAAACTTTTGCCTGTGGCTTTTGGAGGTTTCAGTTCCAGGATCTTGTCAACCATGACCACAGAAATTTTCTTATTAGTCCCCATGGTTACACATGATCCTCTGTACACTGTTTTGATTACCACCAGCATTTAAAAAAATATGTAACAGATGTACAGACCCTTGGAAATGAGATAAAACCCACTAAGGATTCCGTTAACATTGCATGCTTGTGATTTACGAATTTAGACTACTGTATTCCCCTGGTGACCTGTGGTCTTGTAAATGATTCCTTGGTATTTCCTATTCTTTGAATTAAATGTTAACTTTCAAGCTTGGTTAGACATCTGTGGAAACATTAAACATGAGACATATGTAATTTTGATATTTTACATATTTTCTTTCTGCTTTCTCTAGTAGAGATTTACAGGGATTAAGACAGCTGGACCTCTTTGGTTGTAGTTAGCCTAACTTTTCCTAGTTATCTTCCTGACATAACCCTGATATTATATTGAAATATCTTTTTTTTTCAGCTACTCTGAAGGTATGAAACTTGTTTTGGATCAAGAAAAATAAGAAAAAAGATATAGCAAGAGCCAAGCAAAGAGTTACATCTTTAATTTATTTAGAGATTGTGGTGGTTTGGGCTAGGCCTTCCTTGGTGACCAGTTTGTAACCAAGGAAGGGTCCAGATTTACCCAGTATTCCCTATGATTTTTACGTAAACCAGATTATAAGAAGAAAGGAGGAGAGGCCTTCGCTCTCTTTCCTTCCGGCGGCTTGGAGGTGCAGGTTCCCTGTTGTTGAGTCTGCCGTGTTGGGGAGTGAGGCCGGGTAAGGCCTTGTCGACCTTGGGAGGCAGAAGTTGCCGGCGATCGTCCCGGAGTGAGTTGTCCCAAGGAGAGTGGTGGGATATTTTCTTTGCTAACTCTTTAGTTACTAGATCTCGGGCTACTGATTGGTATATATATATATATATATATATATAAAATTTTGGTTTTGTTCCCTTTCCCTTCCCCCTTCTCCTTCCCTTGTGAAATTGCATATATTTTAAATTGTATATATATATTTCAATTGTAACATAAGTGTAAATATATTTATATATATCACTTTAGCTGTCTCTCTCATTTCGTGTTTTCTTAGTTGGTTGTTTTTCTCCCTCTTCTCCCTGAGGTTTGGGGGGGGGGGGACTTCTGGTGGTAAGGTTTGGAGACTTGGCAGGGAGCCAGCTTCAAACCGTATCAGATATATATAGAAATGGATATTAAAATAGTCTCACCTTGATCTATAATTGCTAACAGAAATAAGACATTACCGTGTAAGTGAAAAAAGTTAAATGTTTGCATCATTCGTAAAGAGAAATTTATATCCAGAGTTACAGGAATGGTATAGTTACATGGTCTAAACTGAGAAATACAGTCGATTTCTTATTTCTGCCACTGACTTCTTATGCAACCAAATCAGTCATGTAGGTCATGCAATTCCTCAGCAGAACTTGGAAGGGTATCCATGAGTTCAGTTCCTGTCCTACCAGCATGGGCTCAGTTATAAGGTAAATAAAACTGACCAATATTTCTGTCTTCTTTACTCACCTTGCACTCCAAAGTAATGGAGCGACCTTAAAAGCAAGCCTGTCACTTTAGTAGGAATCAGACCTTAGCATTGTTTGGTTTATGTCAGGGCATCTGGGTAAATAGAAAGACTGACAAGAAGAATTCAAAAAAGCACTGGAAATACCATGCAAAACTAAAAGTGAGATGACTAAAAGTCCTCCTCTGGCAAGTCCATGTCTTATTCCTTCCAGATTTGTCATCTCCACCAATATAATCTCTACTCTCACAGACAGAGAAATATCACAAGATGCTAAAATAGTGTTCAAAGATGGTGAAATGCATCCAAACCTGACACAGGTTCAATGCAATAAATGAAATCAAATACTCTGGAATCTTCTTTTTGTTAAGAAGAAATGGTGCTCATTAACATCCTTTTCTTCTTCCTGGTGTTTTTGCATTGTATTTTTTTTCTTGTTTAGTCTGCAATTTGGAAAGATTTCCTTATTGAAATGCAAGCAGAATATTCATCTTGCCTTTCTGTCAATACCTTCTGCCTGTGGATGCTCAGAAACAACTTGATTCAAAGTCCCAGTGAGAGTTAA